CCAACAATCTGGCCTTATCTAAGTACAATTCCTATAAAATAGTTTGTTCCACTCTTAATATTTTTTCCAAACATTTATCTATTTATTCCTAATTCCCTATTTGTTTAACATGCTTTACAATATTTTCATCTAGTCTTATCTCGTCATCATCTAGTTATGCTGGTATAAAAAAATTATCTGCCTCACATTTTTGCTTCCCCAGTAAAGATGTTTTCAATTTTTATTTTTCCTAATTTTGTAACTACTTTGGTACTCATGTACTATGTGAACTAAGATGACAGACACTGGAACGTAGTATGTGTACCGGGTTAGGGTTAGGCCATAATTTTTTTCCAATTTTCCATTTTCTTTATATTGCGAGTTTAGGTACCAGCCAATTAACTTCCGTTTTATTTGTACCTAAAATTGTGGCCTAACCCTAACCAGATACAAATACTATATTTCGGTGTCCGCCGTCTTGGTTTACATACTACATGAGTACGACTACTTTTTCACTGGCTGAAAAATAAACTAGACCGTAACTCGAAATAGGCTTTAAAAATATGTAAGACCACAGACTCCAAAATGGAGGCTGTTAGTGGAAACCTCCATGCAATGGCAATCTCGTGTGTTATATTGCTCGCTTCAATTGCTAATGTATGTAAAGCAATACTGCTACTTTTCCTTTGGTCATTTCCCCCAAATTCACATGAGCTGTAACATGATAATCCAACATGTAAATATTCTTCTTACAGATCCTTCTCAAATCTCAGAAAAAAGTACTTCTGAACCAATTGCAGTAGAAACCAGCAAGGGTGGCAGTCCATCACCAACTAGAGAGAGACAGGAGGTGGCAAAAAGTAAAGGTAATGAAAGAAATGGTAAAAATAAGAATGAAGTGTGTTAGATCATTTGTTCGGCACGCGAGCAAGGCCTCGGAAACGATATCATTCTCCTACAGATAAAAAGTTTTTAAGACTCTGAATTATCTGATGAATCTAGGTGTTTGTTTATGTATTATCGTTTGTTAACAATCCGTTATTTATTTAAATTCTTTTTGTCCTTTCATGACATATGGTTACAAAGAAATAAATTATGACGTAACAAAAGAGTGAGGTCCCGAGAAATTTTGTCGAGAAGAGCGCAGCATTCATTTGGCTACATTCTTACGTAACATAGTTTGACTGTGTCGCCCTTTTTCTTTATTTCTGCCTGATTTATGAAGTATAGCTCATGTTGGTTAGAGTTACTTGCTACCATACTGATATATTGATTTCAAAAGAAATAAGCGATTACTGAAGGGAATACAAAAGAGAAGTGCAGAAAACGAATTGATTGGTATACCATTGCCAAAAATGTTTTGTGCCTTAAAAACTTTGCAACTGCATTACTCATGTATGTTTTCATCTACATATGCTTGTCAATCACTGTTCTCGGTTAGGAACTTTATTAAGTCTCGCAACAGGATTATCTCAAAAGATGAACTCAGTAGTTTGTGTATTTCTTTGATAGTTACCAAATACCAATGTAAAATCTCTATCAGTGGTAATGAAGCAGCAGAAGTCTCACTGAAATATAATAAGAAAATTTTCCAAATCTATTTGCCAGACTGATATTTTACCCAATAGTGGATCTGTTGTACATGTTTAAATAGTTTTTTGCTTTGATATTAGCAAAGCATTGTTAAAATATTGGTCTGCACGCTGAAGAATTTTGTCTTTAAATTTAGCCGATTTTGGCACGCGAGCCCAAAAAGGTTGCCTACTCCTGATTTAGACTTAGATCTTCTTCTTGTGTTCTTCTTGTGTTAGGCTTCATTCTTCTAGAAATAGATCTTTTATGTAAAAATACAAAAATCATTCAGTTTGTCCCTAAAATGAAATATTAGTCTATACCATTGATTTTAAACCTTTTTGGTGGAGCACAATCATGAAACATTGCAAAGGCTCGAGGAAATCCTGTGAAATAAGTTGAAAGTAGTGTAAAAACCACTTGTCTTTACTTGTTCACATTCACATCTGATAATAATCAACCAATTTTATCTCTGTTATCTTAGTGCCATCCAACCTAGCAAATTATGATATAATAGGAATATGATTAGATTAGAATTCCTAAACCCACTTTTTTCCTTGATAGCACTGACTTAAACAATTACAAGTGTTATGTCGGTACGGTACCCTAGGTGTTGCAGGTTACATATAATTGGGTGCTTGGGTAGGGCTATGTTTAGCGTGTTATATTTATCAACCTATTTCTTATACAGATGCAACTTCACACACAGAGCCACAAGGAGCAACAGCAGGTGAAGGTGGGTTTGAATATTAAAAATATTGATGATGCGTCAGACAAGAAATGCCTAAATGAATCAAATATTTAACAATATATAGGGTTTGTATCCAAGATCTCTTAAGATGGAGAATATCAGTAACGTATAATTATTTTGGCTGTTGAAAGATTTTTACTGCCTTTACCGCCCATCAAACTCTTCGAATTTCAAGCTTTGATTCACCATCTATATAATAGTCCATCATCTGATAATCAACCAGAGTTATCTCTGTTGTGGTGGTGTCATTCAATCTATTATAATGCATAATATAATAGGATTATGATTATATAATCATGAGGTAATGTAAAAATTCTTGCATTTTGGAATTCCTAAACCTCGAATTTTTTTCTAACAGCAATGATTTGAACAATTCAAAATACCATGTCTTTTAGCTAATGCGCTGAATCTTAGGTGTTGCCGGTACATATTAGTGGGTACTCTTCCTGGACTATCAAGAGTGTTATATTTATCAACCTTCTTCCAATACAGATGCAACTTCACTCGCACAATCTGAGGAAGAGGAGAGAGTGTCCAATGTTCCACCACCCAAGCTCGGTGCATCTCCATTTGATCCTCAATCAGCTGAGCAACATCCAGAGCCACAAGAGGCAACAGCAGGTGAAGGTGGGTTTGAATATTAGAGTAATTGATAATTATTCAGTCAGGAAAAGCCTAGGTGATTCAAATATTTGAAAATATTGAAATGTTGTTAAATATATGTTTGAGAAGAAGTTGCTATAACATAGTAGATTTGTGAATTATTTTTTTCACGCAATTCGTAAATTTTTCAAATTAGAAATGCTTAGCAGTGTACTAATGTTGTGTCACCCTAACCCTTTCACCAGTAAAAAAATGACTAGTAACCAATTGGATAAATTAAAGACTCTCTAGTGCCGTCTAGTAAGATTTAATGTAGAAAGGTTTTGTTACGTATTTTGGAAGTTGGAAAAGTTGATTTATCATAAGATGGGAAAAGTGAACTCGCATGGGTGTGGTGATAAAACAAGATAATATATATGTTAACAATTTTATGTTCATTGTGTAGTCGCTGCTTACGACTGTTCATATTTGTACTAGGCTTAATTCATAGCAATTGTGTAAATCAAGTCTAATCAATATTTCAGGAGAGAATAATAGATTTGAAGACGCTTGCACTGATATCTTGAAGAGATTTCCAACTTTCAAACATTTCAAAATGTTTGCACAAGCTGGGACAGGTCTCGCACTCAGTATCAATGAAATCTCAACAATTATTGAAGATAATGCAAGTTCTGTTGAAGATCAAAAGTTTGAGATGCTTCAACTTTGGAAAGAAAAAAACGGTAAATATTTGTTTGTTTTCCTTAAACGGGTAGGTTTGTGGGAAAGTGTTGATCAGTTGCTTGTATAAGGTTGTGCTTGAAACGAAATGTGAGAAACACATCATTCCAGTTTTACATAGCGTTGAGTAACCTCATTAACTTGTGAAGTCGTAGGTCTACGTGTATTACTGGCATTGAAATCGGCGACATAGTTACTACTCACC